GGGGGGGGGGGTGTCCCCCCCCCCCCCCCCACACCGCCCCGTAGCTCCGGGCCTGGTTTCAAAGTACGAAGACAAGTGACAATCAAATATTTTTAATCCAAATTAAGCCTGTTCTAAACGTCGCATATTTTTGCATGAGCCGAATGCATTCAAAACAATGGATAATGAGGCATTTCAGCTGATTTATATCTAATGTCTTGAATGCATTCGGCACATGTAAAATGCAACGTTTAGAAATTAGAACAGGCCTTATGAACAATGACTCAATATAATGTTATTTTAATTCCTATAATTATAAAAGTAGCATCAAGGTATTTTAAAACTAACCTCTGTACGCTTTCGTTCACCATTTAGCTGCATGCTTCATTTCTTCAAATTTCCTGAGAATATTCGTCCAGTAACAGTAATTCTTGTATATTTTGAGTTGATTTTGTATAAAGTAGCAAAACGAGCTCGTGAATTGATAAACAAAGTCTGTATGGCTCTCCACTCCTTCCGAGTTGTAAATCCCGTTTCGCGGCGTTATAAAGCCATAATACTCCAAATTTTTTGCTCAAAATTCTTCTTGTGTATGCTTCTATCTTTGTGATTATAAAATTGGCCCGGTCGGAAAAGTTACCAAGGCAAAAAACGCGAAAAACTACCGTCTGTAATACAAATCTATACAAAGGTTGGGGCCCCAGAATCGGGTGGCGGCCGGTGACTTCCGGCTTCACTTTTGTATACTATAGATGCGTTATCCAGTCTTATTCCAGATCAGTGGGTACACGTCAACAGCCCCCTAGTTTTTCTTGTTACTGTTTTAATGAATATTTCCCATTATTGGCACAGGTGTAGTTTAATTTGAGGTATGTATAGTGAAAAGTGTATATGCAGGTATTTATAGTGAAAAGTGAGGTATTTATAGTGAAAAGTGTATATGCAATCTGTTTTATCCGTTACCATAGCAACCATGGTGAATTACAAAAACTTGGCTAATTGGAGCATAGTTCAATAGCTCAGCTACCACAAGAAGCATTTTCACTTAGATACATCACATAATTATTATGTGAGTTTTTCTTTTTTTTTGGGGGGGGGGGGCGAAGAGGCCTATAAAAGCCAGTTTTCCATATACTACTTCCTTGTCAAATTTCAGTCCGATACATGGAAAATGTTTTGTCTCAGCTGATAACTAAAGATCTATAGTTTCTAAAAATATATAGTTTATGCATATTTTGTTTAATTTAAAAATATGCCTATACCAGTTGTTAAAATTTTGTCCATTTTGAAGTACAATTGGGATGAAGTTCCCCCTTAACAAAAAAAATAGGTACACTAGGTGTACATGCATCTGCGCAAAGAAAATGCATCGTTCCTATGAAAAAAATTTCATGCACAATTATTGAGTAAACATTTATATATTTTAGAAGCGACTATACAGCCACAGCCGACTACTTAGTAAACTGCTGGCTATACAGCAAGCTATTTAGTAAAATGCTGGCTATATAGTAGTATCCTTCGCACACGCTCTTTGTGTCGAGGTTTCTCCCCACGAGCGACTTCTCACCCGAGCACAACTTTCCATTCCCTTTGTTTTACGTTGGCCAATCAGATTTAGCAACATAAATATCTAAATAAATTTAGCGACATAAATATCTTAATAAGTCCAAGGTCATAACTGCTAACCATAACCTTTTGAAAGTTAGAAAAGGTGGGAAAAAAGTTTTTAAAATTATTTAAGAAAAAAATATTCTAATTCAGACAAAACACAACCCGACCCGGACTGCGTATCACTTTCCGCACGCAACGCCTTTATACGCTAATGGCAAGCTTGGTAAAACCGTAAAAGCTAGCACAAGCAAAAGTTTTTACATTTAACTATAGTCACTATATAGCCGACAATTTACTATATACCCTGCTGTATTGTCACTTTGTTTATATTTGATGATATGATATATGATATATATCTCTTCTCTACCACAATCAACTCTCAGAAAGCCACCATTTATATAATAAAAACAGACTGAATAAGAGTTAAAAAAATGGGCATTTATTAACGTACCATTATTTATGTATGCTCTATATAAAAATGAAAAATACATACAATCTGTAAATACATTTTATCAGTGGCGGCGCCAGGGCGGGGGCGGCAAGGGGGGTGGGGAAATGCCCCCTCTAACCCCCCATTTTGCCACCCTTCAAAAAAAAGTATTAGTCACTGAGACGGACTTAAAGTGCTACTGCAGCGAATTTTTCGACCCTCATTTTTTTAGCTTAATTAAAAGTGCTTTCCTTCCTGACCTGTTTACCACAAACAGAATTGAAATTGGTCAATTCAAACCGATTTTATAGCCTTCCAAAGTGGCCATTTTTGGCACTTCCTGTGCGAACTTTTGATCGGCCATGTTGATGCCATGTGACGTCATAAGATGAACACGATTTTATCATGGCGTATTAAAATTATAGTAAAACCAACAAACGCGGAGACGAAGGCCGTGTTTCTGGCAGTTCTAACTTAGATTATTGCACGAATTCTGAACAGCCTGAAGGAATACCCATGCATCCATTTCCCAACAAAGAAACAGATCCACAGAGTGAAAGAAAGGCAGTGAATTTTATCCGTAAACATTGACCGCAGGTTTTCACGCATCTGCGAACCTAGTAGTGTTTTGATTGACCCCGTTTTGAAGATTCGTGCTATCTCTTATTTTCATCGACAAAACCTCGTAAAATGGAAAGAATACTGAAGGAAGAAACTGTTTATACAATTTACATGGCTAGAATTGTTCCCCTGGCTAAAGTACAACTAACAGACGCAAGGCAAATAATTCAGGTGATATTATAGTGAAGTACAAATTAATATGTTCGCACACTGACACATGGTGAATATTTTGCGCAAATGATGCTATATTGTTAGTCTAAAGTGTTTAACATTTCTTATGTTTTAGAGCATTTGTGGTTGTAAAAAGGCTATCTCCTGTTAAGTTACTTTCTTGTCCAGAGCATCTTGAGATTGAAATAAAGACAACAATTCAGCATGCCTTGACGGCTTGAGTGCTTGACCTAGTTTCGTCAAGACTTCTGATGTTATTTTGAGAGAAACGATGACGTTGGAGTTATATTCAGTCATATCAATAATACATATTGCATAGCATAAAGTAACAATAAATATAATAATACAATAGTATAATATTGTACTGGTACGCTATTTATGTGAGAAATATATTTGTGACTTTGAAGATTAATATAATTTCAAAATATTACAGTAAATGTGATATTGCACAGTGGCACAATTTTGACTCAATGGTTAACTGACTCAGTCACAATCTGCCTAATGCCCTAATCCAACTAAAGTCGACCGCTTTTCTGTTCAAACGTAAGGCAGCTGTGTCTCTGTTGTTGGAAATTATTTTCTTCTGTTTCCCATCCAAGTAAAACTATAGCCATCAATAGAACCACAGCCCGTAATTGCCAATTACACATATCGCTATCTATTGAAAACAAAATCAAAATCATTTTGAGT